GTTTTGTAAATGTCAAAAATGTCTTTGAGTAAGTGTAAGTAGGCTAGTTGGCAAGTCCAGTCAGGTTGGTATTTAATATGAAATACAGAACATCCCCCAAATCCCAGTCCCAAATTCTGTTTTTTTGTGTTCTCCATTATAGGTAAATCATGTATGAGTCCTGGAGAACTCCTCCATGGCTCTGTCCTCATACCCATGAATGTCGTGATTGGGTCAACAATTACATATTCTTGTGACCAAGGGTGAGTTGGCAGGAGACATCTCCAGAATACATGGGTATTAAAACAGTGGTTTCAACCAGAAACCATTAGTTCTTCAAAAGAAATCCAAGTAATTGCCACCTACCCTTAAAAATAGATAAGCAAAAAGAGAATTACCACCCTGATTTGATCCAGAGAAAAACTCTTCAAGATTATCCACTAGAAGAGAAAGAAATTTGAGTTATTCTTCTTCTGATTTTAAATCACCAACATTCCTGACTAGAAATTTGGCTTCAGATTGTTGAATTTTTTGTATGAGTCCTTAGCTGATCACCATTACTTGTCATACATGATATTCTATCCTTTGCCATTCTTTCAGTAGAAAAAAAAAACTAAGCTTTTCTAAAATGTCCATCTAGCTGGGAGATGATCACTCATCTCTTTGTCTTTAGATATCGACTTATCGGTGATTCATCTGCTACATGTATTATCTCAGACAATATTGTAACCTGGGATAAGGACATGCCTCTTTGTGAATGTGAGTAAAAGGATTCCTTTGTTGCACTTTATGTAATTCCTCTTGTCCCCTTCTAGAGGGAAACTGGGCATTTACACATCAAAATGAACACCCAGGAGCGTTACACTTGGTTTGGGTAGTTCTGGGTACAGAGCTGTAGTTTCTCTTCTACTGTATCTCCCAATCCCACCACACTTTCCTTTGATTACTGTTCTTTGATGATAAGTTATTTCATCGTGAATAAGTGCTTAAATCTAAAATATGCTATGAGATTACACACTGCCATCTTTATTCTATGCAAAATGTTGGCCATCCTAGGTATTTCCCATAACAGTTTATCTATACTTTGGTGTGGAGGGTGGGAGGAATGTTGACCAGATCAAAGTTTCTTGACCTTTCCTCAGGCCAGTTCCATGAATCGGTCTACCTTGATACTTCCTATTTAGAATCATCTTTGAGATGAGGATACAGAATTTCAACAACCTGGATTAATTATTGGCTGAGTTGAAGTTTGGTTTGTAAGAGTGAAGACAAAATTCCCAGAAGGTATAACCTTTAAATGCCTTCTCTTTTTTTCCACCTACCTCTCAAAAGCTATTCCTTGTGAGCCACCCCCAGCCATCTCCAATGGGGACTTTTACAGCAGCAGTAGAGAGGACTTTTTCTATGGAATGGTGGTAACTTATAAGTGCCACGTTGGACCAAATGGAAAAAAGCTGTTTGACCTCCTGGGTGAGAAGTCAATATATTGCACCAGCAAAGACAATCGAGTTGGCATCTGGAGTGGCCCTCCCCCTCAGTGTATTCCTCCAGTCAAATGCCCAATTCCAGAAGTTGAAAATGGAATTATGGAATCTGGATTTGGACGTTCATTTTCTTTAAATGATACTGTGATGTTTAGGTGTAAACCTGGCTTTACCATGAAAGGCAGCAACGTAGTATGGTGCCAACTAAACAGCAAATGGAATCCTCCACTGCCAAAGTGCTTTAAGGGTGAGTTGTGTTGAAACTTTGGGGATCTAGAAACAAAATGAAACTTTTAGAGAAATAGATATATGGTACTTATGAGAAGAGGAAGGGAAGGAAAGTATAGGTAGTTGGGTATGCTGGTTAAAGAATTTTAAAGTAAACTTTGAAAGTAATATCTAAATTTTTAAGAAGTAGGAAATTTACTATATTCTGCATCAGTACAAGATCTGCATTAATGTAGGGCAAATTAGAAGACACTTCAAAAAAAGAAGAAAGAAATAAAGGAAGGAAAGAAAGAAAGAGCCAACGATGAGAGATTTTTTTTCCAAAACATATATATGATTCAATTTTATTTAAACGAGGATAAAATAAATGCTCAATCCTATTGGCCATGCCAATGGAGGAAATTGGCTGATGTCAGAATTTGATTAAAAATACTGTAGACATTATACATTCTCTTATTGAAAAATGTGACCTTTATGGAATAAGGCTAGAATTAAGACTGGGTCACTTCCCCATTCTCCCTTTCTCCCCTACTCTTATTAAGAAATGTCTGACTTACTAAAAACCTGGCAACATTGTGAGGCCCACAGGCTCAGGAATGTTATCAAGCTGGTTTGGGGATAGCACGAAGAAAGAGGTACATTTTGGTGGTAAAAATGTATTACAATAGATAGGTTCCCTTGGCTACGATATTAGAGAATATCCAAAAATGTATTAAAATAGATAGGTTCCCTTGGCTACATCCAAGACTTTTTAGTTAAATGAAATGGAAAATGATGAGTGGGTGTAACGTTTCACAGCATAGATCAAGATAGGGAAAGCAGATAGTTTCATGGTTCATCGTATCTAAAAAGTAATGCGTGTTAGTCCCACTCTACCTCCACCCCAGCCAAAGGAGTCTCTGCCTTACACTTAGGAGTGTTGACATAACCACCTTCATCCCACCTCTCCAACCCCAAGTTGGCTTAAGTTGCAGAAGAGAAAGTTCTTATTTCAGAAATAAAAGGCCTTTGGTCCTGTTCTTTTCTCAGGGTGTCTACCACCTCCACATATCAACCACAGTAGTTATAACATCTTGGATAAGCAATTCTTTCCAATTGGACAGGAAGTGTCCTACAGCTGTGACCCTGGCTACACCCTCATTGGAACTAACCCTATACAGTGTACATCCTTGGGAACCTGGAGTCATGCAGCCCCTGAATGTGAAGGTGCCTAAAACTTTATTCCATCTTAAGGAAACTCAACTGTTTCCTGACTCTTCATGTGCCAGCCTTGTCTCTTTTTTTCCTAGCAAAATCATGCGATGCCATTCCAAACCAACTTCTCAATGGCCGTGTGGTGGCTCCTCCTAATCTCCAGCTTGGGGCAGTGGTTTCATTTGTTTGTGATAAGGGGTGAGTGTGAGGGTAGAGGGCCTGAACTGAGACCTATGACCCATAGCTAAGCAGTGCAAAAAATGATTTCTAAATATAGATATAATTTTTTTCTCTTTATGATTTTTTTTCTTATTTTCTTTACCTTATATGACTAATAATTCTAATATTAAGCAAACCCTATGATTTTTCTCCAACTCTATGTATTGTGCATGGCCAGAAAGAGCTAGGAATTGTCTTTTCATCATGTGAAAAAGCAAAATTTAGAATCAGAAATTAAGGCTCCTATTATGAAGAACAATGGGGTTTCAGTAAGAGGGGTTCTTTGGGGGTGATCTTAGGTAACAAGGTCTTTGATGTTTTCTTCAGTAGGAACTAGGGTTTTTCTCTTTCTAAATGGTCAAGAGAATTTTGGCATTTGGATGCCAAAGAGGAAAGGGCAAATTCAAAAAAGAGAATATGATCATTAGGAATTTTTTTCTCTGTCTTTTCACCTGGTCTGAAGTCATCACATAGCTGAGCTGATTCACAATCTTCGACTTTTTCCTTAAGCCAGAAATGATTTAAAAAAACAATACAGGCCATTAATACCATACTTGAGAGAAGTGATTAATTCCATGCAGCTGAAAATTGATTTGTTCTGGTGATGATTTGCTACCCCTTATTATTTAAGGTACCGATTAAATGGCCAATCTTCTAGTCAGTGTGTCTCAGAAGGAATAAGAGTACTCTGGAATAATATGTTTCCTGTCTGTGAACGTGAGTAGAAAACAAAAATAATCAAATATAGATCTTCTGCCCTAATATTTGGTGTATTCCCATGCATAACATCTTATTCATAAGTGTGCTTTGAATATATGTATGCCAGTCTTCTGTATGATCTAGGATGCAGACCAAAACTCAATTCATTGAATTGACTACATATTGTATCAAGTATTCTATATATATATATAAATAAATGCTCTCAATGTTCTCCCTACTGAAACTGAGTAGCACTGATGTGCTAAAATGGTTTGGCTTTGTCTTCTTATACAAGTTCCTCTACCAATGAGCAACTCTTGGAGCTCAATGGAAATCAACCAGAAGTTCTGGATGTTGGCAGTTTTCCCTTTATTCTGAGACTCATTCAGGAAAGATGTGCATATATCAATACAGCTATAACAATATCCTTCATGTGTATGAGGCCAAGTAAATAAAGGCTATGAGGTCATTATTCGAAACCTCTGATCACTTCCTGTGGGCTTTTTCAAAGAGGTCCAGCATCAAAGGATAACAAAGGATCTGTAGTGAGCCTGCAGTATCTTCAGTAGTAAGACAAAATGTGTTCTCACCACTTGTAGCCCCAGTTGTATGTTTGAAACAGGCATCGGATAATTAGTATGTTTCAGGTATCCTACTTGTCATTTTCAGGTACTTTTATCTCACTGGATTCTTCTTGTAACCTTATGAAGTAGCTTGAATTATACTATAGACAAAGAAATTGAGGCTTAGAGAGGGTAAGACTTGCCTAGTCACGCAGCTATTGAATGACAGCGGGGATTTGAAACCAAGTCTATTGAGCCCAAATTTCATTAGTGTGTGGTGCCTCCCTACATGTGATTAATGAATTATTAAGATTCTTCTTATGTGCTCTTTGCCTTGTGTTTCACTATGAAAATTGATGAGACTCTAAACTATTCAATAAATTCTGTTTCATTGTTACTGTTTGGTCAGGATGGTGTTTATAGACCAGTTGATATTTTTGCTGCAGATTGAGAGAAAGGTAAGAACTTAGAAGGTTGGCGATAAGCACGGACTATGAGTAAGAAGTAAATTATACAAATTTCTAAGCCTGTTTCTGAAAAAGTGACATGACCTATTTTTGGACCTTTCATCTAAATTTAAATCTTTTCATTGTCAGGATTAGTATGACCCCATATTTCCTTGTTTACTTTTCAGGGATTTCTTGTGACCCTCCTCCTCCTATCAAAAATGGTTGGAATAGTTATTCTTCTGGTCCCATACCTCTTAACACTGTGGTAAGGTACACTTGTTCTAGTGCCTTCCGCCTCATTGGAGAAAGAATCCTTTTTTGTATAAGTAAAGACCAAGTGAAAGGAATCTGGGATAAAGCTGCTCCTGTATGTGAATATTATAATAGAAATTCTCTTTGCCCTGAGCCCATAGTAGCAGGAGGATACAGAGATAAAAGATCTAGACCACCATACAGACACGGTGATTCTGTGACATTCACCTGTGATACCAACTTTACCATGAAAGGAAACAAATCTGTTTGGTGCCAAGCAAATAAAACCTGGGGGCCAACACCACTACCAATCTGTGAGAGTGGTGAGTAAAAACAAACACAAATCTAAGTGGGGAGGCTGGAAACTTGTATTTCTGTGCAGATCAAGTTTTTATTCTGAAGGAAAAACAATATGGATGTGTGAATGGTGGGAGTGGAGGGGAGGGAAAAGGGTGAAAATTATGGTTTCTTGTTTGTCCTTAGTCCTGGAGGGATATAAATATTCATTCAATAGACATCAATAGAGCAAAAAATAATGGGAAAATGTAACTGAACATACCTAATAATTGAATGGAATAAGTCTCACAAGAATGGGCGTCAGAGTTGTTTGGGATGTGGAAATTAGATGGTTTTAAACTATATATCTTAGTTACTGTTAAATTGAGAAGAAATGTGGGATCTAATAGCAAAATACACCCAATGGATTTAAAACTCATCTTTGAATAGCCATTGGGCTATTCTGGCAGAAATGATGCCCTGTGATCTGCAGCCTCAATGAATATTTTTTGAAGTGGTTCGCTATTGTCCAAGCCACCTAGGAAGGCATAGCATTTCAGATCACATGACTTTGAAGATAGGGGCCACTCTAAGTTCTTCATTTTCTTATCATTTGGTTTGGTTTATGTTGCTGCTGAAACCTAAAGCTGAATCTCAATTATACAATTACAGGGACTGGCAATACTTGACAAAAATTATACCCTCAAAATTAGCTGTTTTCTTAATAAAGAACAGTGTTGATCAGTTCTAAATCAATTGAGTTGAAAAGACTGTCAAATCATTAGAAAAATATGGATCTATCTATAAATATGTATATAATCTTGGAGGTAGGGAAGATTTTAAGATAGTCACAAAATGGGGTGACCATGGAAAACAAACCTTTAGAAAGATTTAGGTAGATCTATATGTATTGACATGGAAAAATATAGACAGATTATTAAGCAAAGAAAAGGCATAGAATAATATGTATTAAGAACACATACATATATGTACTATGTGTGTATATATGTATCACGTATAGGATCCCCAAAAGGTATATTACTAATGTCTGGCAGGATGGTCCCCTAAATAATAACATGCTTCTTTTGGTGCAGAGAATAGGCTCTGGGTAGGAGGAGAGTATGGGTGAAAATGAACTTTTTTTGGTAATTGAAATTTTTCATAGTGTAAATGTAATTCATGTAGCTAAAAATGAAAATGTACCATTTGTGGTATAAAACGTATACACTTAAGCCACAACTGTCTGATCTTTGAAAAGCTGAGTTGAAAATTAATGATCACTGGTTACCATAGATCACATGTCATATATTTGGATCTATGTAAGTCAAAATTTAGATTGTGAATGATGTATCATCTGATGGCCTTTTTCCTACTGTGTGTGTGTAAAGATTTCCCCCAGGAGTGTCCACCACTTCCAACCATCCCCAATGGATCTCACACAGGGGAGAGGGTTGGCCCCTTTGCCCCAGGATTATCTGTGACTTACAGCTGTGAACCTGGTTACTTGCTTGTTGGAGAAAAGACCATTAGATGTTTGTCTTCGGGAAAGTGGAGTGCTGTTATTCCCACATGTAAAGGTACCTACATTTACAACCGATTTTAAGAATTTGGGCTATTCTGGGGCACCCGGGTGGCTCAGTCAGGTCAGACTCTTGATTTCAGCTCTGGTTGTGATCTCAGGGTCGTGAGATCGAGCCCTGAGTTGGGCTCCATGCCGAGTGTGGCGCCTGATTGAGATTCTCTCTCTCTCTCTCTCTCTCTCTCCCCCCTCTTTGACCCCTCCCCCAACTCATGTTCTCTCTCTCAAATTAATTAATTAACTAATTAATTAATTTAAAAAAGAATTTGGGCTATTCTGTTATTTGCTCATCTTTGGCTTATTTCCTTAGAAGCACAGTGTGAACCTCCAGGACCATTTCTCAATGGACAGATAAAGGGCCCTCCAAGTCTTCGGGTTGGTGCGACTGTGAACTTTGACTGTAACGAAGGGTGAGTGTCAGGAGGGCCTTGGAGATTTCATTCATTTGGTTTATGTGTGCATGGTGTGACCAATGACACCTGCCAAGGGTTCCTCTGTGAGAATCCGGGGAGGGCCTACAGTGAAGCTGGGAGAGAGAATGCTTATGAAAGGGGTTAATACATGTCAAGTAAGTGAATTTGTCTTGGATTTTAAGTGGAGGCTGTTGCTCTCAACACCACTGCTCAATAGTCCTGAATAGATCCCCCTCTGTCGCCAGGTATCGGTTACAAGGCCAACCTTCCAGTCAATGTGTAATTGCTGGACAGCGGGCTTCTTGGACCAGGATGCCAGTATGCAAAGGTAGGTTAGAAAACTGTGGTTTGCAGCTACTTCCCTGGTCCTTGAACAGAACACTCCATTCTCGGCTTAACTAAAAGCTTTTGGTTCAGTCATTACTATAGAGAGATCTCACATAGACATCTGGAAGGGGTATGTTCTTCACTGAAGCATCCTTCAGCCACCTCCTTCCTCTCTGCTTACTCAAGTGAAACAGGGTTCCTAGGCTCTTCTTTCTCTGAAAGCTCTATAGGCTTGCCAACCAGGCCAGGCACAGAAAGGGGATTGTATATTCAGTAGAAGAAATCAAAGGGTCACCCCAGTAGATATAATCAGGAATAAAGTCCTAAATCATACTTTTAAAATTATATTGCTATAGCTGCCTAATCAAGGTATGTTACAGATTCAAATGTCACTGTCCCTGAACCTAGGAGGGGACAGTGGTACAAGCAACATCCGAGGCATTCTTTGTTTGCAGTAAAACAGCAATCTTGTCATTTCTCTCTAATTTCTCTAGAAATTGTTTGCCTGCCACCTCCTTCTATTCTCAATGGAAGACATACAGGCAGCTCTTCGGGGAACTTTCCATACGGAAGCACAGTTACTTACACCTGTGACCCAGACCCAGAGAAAGGAGTGAGATATATCCTTACCGGGGAGAAGACTATCCGTTGTATCACCAATAGTCAGAAGACTGGAATCTGGAGTCACCCTGCCCCAATCTGTGAACTTTCTAGTTCTGCCATTCAGTGTCCACCTCCCCAGATCCTAAGAGGCCAAATATCATCTGGGCAGAAAGAGCAATATTCCTATAATGACACCGTGGTATTTGCTTGCTCATATGGCTTCACCCTGAAGGGCAGCAAGGCAATCCGATGTAATGCCCAAGGCACGTGGGAGCCACCAGCACCAGTCTGTGAAAAGGGTGGGTGTATTGGAATATGCTACTGATTCATTTTTTTGAAGTGTTAGAGGATGGAGTTATGGATTTAAGCAGGGCCTTTTCCCCAGTTTCTAGTCTCCTCAGTTGTACTACATATAGTGAATATAAATTATATAGGTTTTCTTTACATCTCCCCTCCACTGTTATTTCATTTTGTGGAAGTATCCTTGGGGGAAAAGCATTAGGGATCACTAAGTTGCCTCATTCTTTAGGGAAAAAATGTTGTTTCAATAGTAATTTTTTTTAAGGGAAGTAAGCAAAGCCCCCGCCCCAGGGATATATCCCATTAAACACATAGGAGAGCATTCCTTAAAAAAAGAAGAGACAGGAGAAGAGTTAGAGCCCTGAGTAGGAACTGAACAAAGTCTGCAGCAGCCGAAGTGCAGAAACGAAAAACAGATGAACCACTGATCTAAAATTACCCAAAACTGAGCTACACATTAATGATAATTTCTTTGCTTGTTTCTTTCTGTTGTTTATATAAGAAAATTTTTCTTTTCCTTTAGGGTGCCAAGCCCCTCCTACAGTCCTCAATGGGCAAAAGGAAGATGGACACATGGTCCGCTTTGACCCAGGAACATCTATAAAGTACAGCTGTGACCCTGGCTATGTGCTCGTGGGGAAAGAATCCATACGTTGTACCTCTGAGGGGGTGTGGACACCCACTGCCCCCAAATGCAAAGGTGCCAGGCTTTGAATGTAGATGTTTTATGTTTTTGAGGTTGCTTTGAGCTGATTTCTCATCCAGGTCTCTTTTCTTAGTGGCGGAGTGTGAACCTATAGAAAAGCAAGTCTTTAAGAAACCCCAGGATCAATTTGTTAGACCAGATGTTAACTCTTCTTGCGACGAAGGGTGAGTGAGGGCTGTCTCAGCCTGACCCAGGTCTGGTTTATCAGGGCACACTACAAGCTCTGTTGTCTGTGTTTATCTCAAAGAGCCTTCCTTGTCACCTGTTCACAGAAGGGTTGATTGCGCTATTGTTGCGTGCGTGGAAACGCTGCCTATGCGATGAATGGATGGTGCCGATGCTGTCTACATATTTGTCCCTGTTATTTCTTGTCCTAAAAGTGGTGAGTCTGCTTTGCGCCAACAGCTCTGCTTAGCTTAGTGGTCACAAGATGGCAAAATGACATGACTCTTTGTCCCTAGGTACCGGTTAGGGGGGAGTGTTTATCAGAAGTGCCAAGGAGCGATTCCTTGGTTTATGGAGATTCGTCTTTGTGAAGGTGAGTAGCAAAAATGATGGAGGACCTGAAACTGTGAGATGTACCCATTTCCTGGGAGATTTCTCTTTGAGGCCATGTTATGGGAATACGACTATTAGATTCTGTTCGATTAACTTTGTCAACAGTTCTAGTTGCACAGTTTTGCTGTCTTTCTGCTGTCACCTCCTTCTACTTCATAGCATGCCAATCAATTTAAATGTATTCACTTTTTGATTCTCTTTTGTGATTTAGCAGTTTAAGGATAATGAGGACAGTGAGTATATGAGCAACCATCCTTAATTTGGGGAACGCTATAGTTTAGTGGAGAGAGAGGGGATTGGTGTGGGATCTGAACTCAGATTCTGTTTCTATTGCTTCATTTGAGCGGGGGCAATTTTATGTAACTACTTGGAAATTCCAGCCTCTTATCTGGAAAGTTAAACTGAGACTCCAGACTTCAAAGTTATTAAAATTAAATGGTTCTATCCCTACTTTGTAGATGAGAAAATCACCTGTCAAAAGTAGATGCTCTATTGACAGCGATTCTTGGCTAACCTATCCTATCACCTCAGCACAAGATGGTACTCAAAAAAGCTTAATTCTACCCCTCCCCATGCCTTTTATTCACTTATTGGTTCTTTTAAAAAACAATGATTTTAACTACCAATTTACTACTAGACTTCACTGCCTCACAATATGATACTAATGAACATGTTCACTTTTAACAAAGATTTCCATTAGAAAAATCTTTGCTATGTATGATATCTGTTTAAATCGAGTTTTACATACATAAGGAGCTTTGATGTTAACTCTTATCATCAAAATTCATCCATATCTTCCAGGAACCCTGATAACAACAGGTTCATAACCAGCTTCATTTCTCTTCTTTGGTGTCTTCATTTCTCTTCTTTGGTGTCACTTCATCTTCTCTTCTTTGGTGTCTCTTCATTTTCTCTTCTTTGGTGTCTAATACTGGAGTAAAATTCTACAGTAAATTCTCATTCTCTCCAGAAATCATCTGCCCACCACCTCCTGCCATCTACAATGGGAAACATACGGGGAGTTCCTCAGGAGATATTCTATATGGAACCACAGTCACCTACACATGCAACCCTGCGCCAGAAAGCGGAGTGGAATTCAACCTCACTGGGGAAAGCACCATCCGTTGTATAAGCAATGACCAAGAGAGGGGCATCTGGAGTGGGCCTGCCCCTGTCTGTAAACTTTTTCTCCCTGCTGTTCAGTGTCCACCTGCCCAGGTTGCAAATGGATACAAGATATCTGGCAAGGATGCCCCATATTTCTACAATGACAGTGTGACATTCAAGTGTAATCATGGATTTATTCTGAAGGGCAGCCATCAGATTCGTTGCAAAGCCGATAGCACCTGGGATCCTGAAATACCAGTTTGTGAAAAAGGTAAAGACCCAATGGGGGGAAATGAGGTATTTACTTATTTATTCTTGTTTATTAGCTCGAACCCAAAACTAGAGTTGTAGAAAAAGGCAAAGGTGCATAGGTTACTATCCCATTTCTTCCATTCTGTGATGGAATGTCCTATGTGTTTTTATATGTTCTTCATGTAAATGCCCCCTTGGATTTGGGATATATTCAGGGTAGATAATGAGAGGAACTTTTTATTTCTTTTCAAGTTTTTATTTAAATTCCACTTAGTTAACATACAGTGTAATATTAGTTTTAGGTGTAGAATTTAGTGATTCAACATTTCCATACAACACCCAATGCTTATCACAAGTGCCCTTCTTAATCCCCATCACGTATTTCACCCATCCCCCACCCACCTCTCCTCTGGCAACCATCAGTTTGTTCTCCATAGTTAAGAGTCTGTTTCTTGGTTTTCGAGAGGACCTTTTTAAAGGTGCCTGGTTCCTGCAAAAGAGCAGAAAACATTTGGTAATTAGAGCTTCATAATTTTTGGCTTAAAAGTTTCAGATTGTCTGCTGTCAAATGTTGTATACTTAATGTTCTTGAGTATATATTTCTTTTTTTCTTGTTGGTATTTATGTGGGGAGTTTTCTCTTCAGGCTGCCAGCCACCTTTTGGGCTCCAGCATGGTCAGCATACAGGTGGAAATAGGGTCCTCTTTGTCTCTGGGATGACTGTAGACTACACCTGTGACCCTGGCTACTTGCTTGTGGGAAACAAATCCATTCACTGTATGCCTTCAGGAAATTGGAGTCCTTCTCCCCCTCGGTGTGAAGGTACTTTCAGTTGCAGAGTTGTTTTTCTCTATGATATCAGGCATGCATAAATAATTCAAACTTTGCTCTTCTAGAAGCACCATGTCAGCCTGTGAGAGATTTTCAAGAGCCTCCCATTCATTCACATGTGATACCAGTCAATACATCCTGTCAAGATGGGTGAGTATGAGATGGTCCATTCTGAAAAGGGGTCTCCACCTCATTTTGTACATTAATTCTGTCCTCAGCTTGTCTTAGTGACTCCCTCTAGAGGTCTCTCACTGTCACACTCACAGGGAATGTGAGGTTCCAAAGGTCTAATTAACATCTGACTTTTCAGTCCTTTCTTGACATGGAAATGACTTTGCTGTGGAAAACTCTATGTCTAAAGTAGTTTTCTTACTTGGAGGGCCAAGAGTTTTAGCTCCTTGTCTGCCAAAGCTCTTACTTAGAAGTGCCCCTGTATCTGTGGTTTGAGGAAGCTAGGTTGCAGAGATGTGATACTGGGAAGAGGAAATGCATTACATTCTCTCTCTAGGTACCGGTTGACAGGACATACTTATCAGAAGTGTCAAGATGCTGAGAATAGGGTTTGGTTCCAAAAGATTCCACTTTGTAAAGGTAAGTTAGAAAAAAAAAATTGTTATTGGGGTAGTAAGGGGTTAGAGAGGGAAGGCCACTGAAGAACTAGCCTTATAACTACCTCAATAGTCTATGTGTTCTGTCTCATTGTACATGAGACAAATCTTTCCATGTTTGGTCAGCACTGGCACTGGGGAAAAAAGTGGTCAAGTAGGAACTGAGTGTTTACTATATATCTGCTCAAGATTTAAGAAAAAACTATATATATGGCCTTTATTTCTAGTTTATGGGAACATAGCTATATTCCTCTCATAATACTTTGTTTTCTGAATTTTTTTGGAATGAGTATGTATAATTTAATAACGCTGTTATAAAGGAAGCAACACCTGGGTTCTAAAAATCTAAATTCTTGTATGGTTACGTGCAGTACGAGCAGTTGCCTAGTTTCCTTTGTGCCTGACTGAAGACTGTCCACCTTGGTGTGCTAGCTGAAGCAGAATTTCCTAAATCTCTTCTGCAGTAATTCACTGTCAGCCTCCACCCATGATTGACCATGGAAGGCCCAGGGGCGTGATGGCAGAACCCTTTCTATATGGAAATGAAGTCTCTTATGAATGTGACCAAGGATTCTCTCTTCTGGGAGAGAAAAATATACGATGCATAAGTGATTCTGAAGGACGTGGATCTTGGACTGGACCTTCCCCAAAGTGCTTAAAATCTCCGCCTGTGATTCACTGCCCTAGCCCAGAAGTCAAACATGGGTACAAGCTCAACAAAACTCGTTCCTCATATTCCCACAATGACACAGTGCATGTCACCTGCAATCCTGGCTTCATCATGAATGGCAGTCACGTGATTAGGTGTCATACCAATAACAAATGGGTGCCAGGTGTACCGACTTGTATCAAAAAGGGTAAGATATTTTAAGGAATAAGGGATGGGGTGTTGCCCAGAATGAAGAAAAAGGGCTTTGAAATTGCACTGACCATTCAAACTACAGAAAAGCATGTAAAAGTGAAGGCAATCACATTGTTTTACAAGATACCTGCCTTGTCTTCTCATCTGATTTTTTTTATCCCTTCCCTTTCTAGGTATGCTGAGAAAAGTACATGAGAAGATAATGGTTAACTTCCAAACTGATGGAGTCTCTAAAATTTATTCTTTTTACTAATTTATAATTTAAAAAAAACACACATACTTTTGGAGAGGGCAAGGGTTTGGCAATAATATTGCTTGATAATTTGATATTTAAGGCTGTGAAACCAGCCAGAAAGAGAACTTTGGGTTTGTGGAGATGAATGTTGCCCTTCAAACCCATCGAATTGTCTTTCTTGTCATTACGGTTGTCATTCAGCAGTTATTCCTGTCGGTAACTATCTACAACAGAGGCTGCCAATCGGTGCCCCAAGAACTGAATTCAGCTCACCAGAATGGTTTTCTTTGGCTAGCACAGTAGTCTCATCCTAAGTGAAACCCATCTGCACAGCCTAAGATAAACAGTGAATGTGTAATACAGTGAGGACCCCTTTGCTTTCCTGAAAGACACCTATATCTTGAACCAGGCAATGGATGCCATTTTTAGGACAGATGCTCTCTGATTTGTCATATCCGGTGGCTTCACTTCCTGGTTCCAGAAGGCATTGGAGTGTAAGACCCCTAAACTATACCCCTTCGCTATTGAAAGGGAAAAGAAAAGAATACTATTACCTGATAGATTACAATCGTGGGCCACGACCATTGATGTTTCATTATGCTACTTTTGACATTTCTTCAGATCTCATACGATATATGTAGGCAATGCAAATTTCTGTCCAGTGCTACTTGGTTTAGGTGGAATGAATATTTCTTGATACCAATTAGTTGGCTTGTTTCCTGCCTTCTTTCAGTATTGCTGTCACCCACAGATAGTGTTGGCTATATGTTCCTTTGTGCTAAATTAAAGATCCTTTTTTATTGGTGTCTAAGCTTCCTTAGGATGTCAACCTCCACTTAAGATACCCAACGGGAATCATACCGGTGGAGATATAGTTCGATTTTCTCCCGGAATGTCAATCCTGTACAGCTGTGACCAAGGCTACCTGCTTGTGGGAGAAGCACTCCTTCTTTGCACACATGAGGGAATCTGGAGCCAATCTGCCCCTTATTGTAAAGGTGTGGTGTCTATTATTCTCCTGTTTTTTTTATTCAACTGTCTCTGAAATAGATATTCAGTTAGGTATTTCAACTTAAAATAACCAAATAAATGCATTAATTGGATCATTTAACTAAATGCATTTCATTGGATTGATTCAATTGGATGAATACATTAATTAGTCTAAATACCACAAAATAAGCTACACCCTAAGTCATTTTTTTCTTATCTGAGGGGTGATCACTTATGTAGCCCTTTAAATATAGAAAATTGAAGTACTTATACCAATTAAACAACTAAAGTGCAGGTTGAATTAACCTGTGGTTGTAGTTATGATAAGTGTGCATTTGACAAAATACTGATAAAAAGCACAATGATCTTGTCAGTATATTTCCTCTACGTGGTGGTGGAATTAGGAGTATATTTTTTTATAAAAGCTTCAGAATTTCATTTTCATTAACATAAACAATGCATATGAAATAGGAAGAGTGAGTTAATATCTAATATTTGTCAAGCACTTTTTACTAAATGCCAGAAATTGCACACAACATCTTACGTGCGTTATCTCATTAATCTTCCTGAGAACCAGATGAAGTTGGTGCCATTATTATTCCTATATGACAGATGAGGTCTCGGTAGAGTGGAGATATTTGTAACCAACCCAAAGTCACATAGCTGGGAAGTCCTAGAGTCATGATTCAAATCCCAAACCTCCCGCTATTGCCCCCTATGGTGTGAGATGAAAGGAGAAATGAGGAAGTATGTTCCATATGGACAATTATAGAATAACAGTGGAACAGATGAAACAGTCATTAAGAATTCTTAATATCACCCATTCAGACTTTACCATTTCTCTAAGAGGCCATTAAAATTATCCAACACTATTAGTTTAGAAACTAAAGCCCAAAGAAGGAAAATAATCTGGCTTAAATTACCTAGAGGTAATTGAGATGGATGGTTGACACAGAAAGACTCTGCCTAAGATGTTCTTTTGCGTTCTCACAGTGAGGCTTTCCTTACTGAGAATGAACCGAGTTGGTTTTGTAAACCTTTCCATTCAGGGCAGTATCTACTTCCTTGAGAAAAGGCTAAAATATGACCCAGCTTCAATGAGTTTTCTTTCATTTCAGAGGTAAACTGTAGCTCCCCAGAGTATATGAATGGAATCCAGAAGGGGCTGGAGCCTGGGAAAATGTATCAGTATGGTGCGATCGTCACTTTGGAGTGTGAAGAGGGTTATACCCTGGAAGGCAGTCCCCAGAGCCAGTGTCAGGATGATCAGGGATGGAACCCGCCCCTGGCTGTCTGCAAATCACCGGGTAACAGCAAAAGGCTACTGTGCTCATACTTGTCTCACTGGACAGAAGAAGAGTGAGGAGTATCCATCAATGTTAGGGACTTCTAGGTTTTAAATTGATGTGGGTCTGTGACCAGTGCTACAGCAACAGATGAATTTGAAGTTAGTGGTCTATTCTAGAAAAAGCAAAACTTTTTGAGGATGAGGGAAGTAAAGAAGAAAATAAAGGGAGAGGAGTACCAACCTACAAGATGCAGAACTAACAACCTTACATTTTGAAAGGAGTTGTTACTGAGATTTCTCTTGCTGAATCTTGATTTATAAGTACTTAACCAATTTGACAGGGACCTCCAAAAAATATGCTGAACAACCTGTTGTAACAGTTACTACTTGCATTCTAACCTGAGAAATCTCTGATTATAAAGTTGAGTATATTGGCTTTTTTCATTCATGAACTACCCCAACTTACTGTGTTATTTTTTTAAACATCCAGTGAATTGTTACATAAAAAATGAAGGAAGAGTGCATACAATGCAGGGTCCCAATACATCGTTTTAAGTAGATTTTGAGAGAAATGAGCTGAGTGTTATCTTTGGGGATATTACCATGGGACTTTGGGCTGCACTGAAGTATGCAACTAGACTAATGTTTTTGTGATTTTGTACTCTCCTTAGCTTCACTTGCTCCTCTTCTTAGTGGTAAGTTTTCTTAAATATTTGAATTAAATTTCTAATGATGTTTTAGAAAAAAAAATATATATATATACATCAAATTTGAGGCCCTATATCCTGCCTGTTATTTTTGTTTTTCACTTTAACTCCTAGGAAATTATCCTTTTTGGTGTCTTAAAGCTCTTTTAATACGTACTTCATATTACAAGCTGACACTTTTGGATAGAGTTGAATAAATAATTTAAAAAGCCAACTATTCCCAGTTTTTCTATTGAAAGTTGAGTTTATATTAACTTTTGATCTTTTGCATGATTTGGTACTATCAAACAGGCTGACTTATTGTGCAACAGCAAAATATATTTTCCAACTGAGAATTAAATGTTGTTATGCCAAGTCGTGGGATCCTTGTGTCCTGAGCTCCTAATATCACCCCAGTAACAAGAATATTATTAACAAAATTGAAAGAAACAGAAAAGCTCAACAGAAACTTGACTGGAGCCCTGTGGTCAAATGCTTGGTGCTTTAGATTAAAGGTGGACTGGATTGAATCAGAAAAAAATTAAGCCCAAGTATGATTATTTAGGAATGTAACATTATATGGCTAACAAAGGATAAGTATAAAGTCCCATAACAATTTCCCAACCACTAGGAATAGCCCCACAATTACTTCAAAAGAATATAGGTCACAATTGTCTGGCATTTGATACTTGCTGTTTTGTTTTCTAGGTCTTTCTGCAGGTTCATTTCTTCTTGTATTCTTGATTGGTGTCACCTTATGCACAATATTAAAATACAGAGAACGGTAAGTTCAGTGCATGCTTGACCAAAGGGCACAAAAGGTTTTGGCTTCTGGCCTGAAACTAAACTCAGAAGCACAAGTCATATGACATGAACATTGTAGTGTGGAGTAAGAGATCTTGTGCCATATAGAAGGAAGCCCTCTCTGTGAGAACTTAAAAAATATCGAGCACTTATTTTATTTGAATGATATTTATTCAGATGATATATATTAAAAAATCTAGAAAATTAAAATTTTAAAAATCCCAGTGGTAACAACTGCAGATATTTTGGTATATTCCTATCTGATCTTATATTCCTTCTCTTTTTCTCTTTTTAACTGAAATTTTGACATGACAGTCCCCTGCTTTATTTTCTTTAATTTGGCTTTTGTCTCTTGTGTCTCTATATTATGTTTTCTTTTTAATTATGTAATAGTATATTGTTCTATGTATTTCTGTATCGTGGAAATTTTAGGTTGCCTCCACATTTATTTTGATAATAAATAAAGATACAAGAGACACCTTTGAATAAACCTTTTTCCACATTTACTTATTTCTGTAGCATAAATGTCTAGAATTACTAAGGGTAAGAGTATGAACATTTAAGATGCCTAATCAGTATTGCCAAAGGACTTTCCAGAAAGTGTGTTCTAACTTGACCATATGTCAAATAATTAATATATTTTGATATGTTGTGTTTCGGGACTTCTTTTCCAGCTGTATTGATTTGTCCTCCCATCACAAATTACTTTGTGTTTAATTACTATAGCTTTCTACTATTATATGGTAGGTCAAGAATTCCTTTGCTATAATTTTTTAGGATTTTCCTTTCTATTCTCTTCTGTTTGTTCTTATCAGGTGATTTTTAGATCATTTGGCATTTCCAAAAACCATATGTTGTGATTGCATTTAAGTCTATAGATTAGTCTGTGAGAAACTGACATCTTTTCTGTAATGTGTTCCCATTCAGAAACATCCAAGGCCTTTCTATTTGTTGAAGTAATCTTTTCTCTCACTTGGTTGTTGTTTTCATGACTACTTAAGTATATTACTAGGTTTCTATGTTTTGTTATGTTTTATTCAGAAATAAGATATACTTTTCTTTTTTTAACATTAATTTTTAAAAATTATTTATTTATTTATTTGACAGAGCACAACCAGGGGGAGGGGCAGAGGGAGAGGGAGAAGCAAGCTCCCCGCTGAGCAGGGAGCCTGACACAGGGCTCGATCCCAGGATCCTGGGATCATGACCCAAGTCGAAGGCAGACACTTAATGACTGAGCCCACCCGGGAGCCCCTAACATTAATTTTCTAAGTATTTTAATCTATATAGGGGCGCCTGAGTGGCTCAGTCATTAAGTGTCTGCCTTCGGCTTAGGTCGTGATCCCAGGGTCCTGGGATCGAGTCCCACATCGGGCTCCCTGCTCTGCGGGAAGCCTGCTTCTCCCTCTCCCACTCCCCCTGCTTGTGTTCCCTCTCTCACTGTGTCTCTCTCTGTCAAATAAATAAAATCTTTAAAAAAAAAAACACAACATTTTAATCTATAAAGTAATTTTGCCATAGTAGGTTATGTGATATTTGGTGGGTACACAAAGCAAGTGGTCAAGTAACGGGGAATTTTGATCAGAAAAAAAATTTCATAGTGAAGGAAATCTTTCAAGCAAGCCTCAAGAGTTTGTAGACAAGGAGAAAAAGGCATTCCAAGTGGAAGGAGCAGTTTGAGGCTTGTCTTTCCATCAGGTATTATAGGAACTATGTAAGCAATTTGACATAACTGTGTGTGATGGTGCCTGAAGGAGAGGGTAACATAGATTTAGGTGTAGGGATGGCCTAAAAGACCCCTCTGACCCATAAATCCTGTGTCAGAATATTCTGATAAGTGCAAAGGATACCATTTTAGCAAATGAGACCATCAGGAAACAGCCTGGGAATGTTTTGTGTGCATAGGTTCTTGAATCTCTGCATGTGCTAGTGTTAGAGAAGATGATCAGGTGAAGCCTTACCAAGTCTCAGGTAACTTCCAGTGGGAGATGACCAAGTCATGTCACCCCAGACATGTCACCCATAAATGCCAGCAAAATTACTTTATTTTTTTTCACCAGCAAAATTACTTTAACATGCCAAGTCACCTGGCTCGTGCCATGAATGCCATCTGTTACATTGTTCATAGTTGTGAAACGCCTGGTGTAGACATTGGACACGAAGGGGTTATACTGAAACTATGTCATGATGGCACCTGTGAACCTGAGGCATTTGTTCTAAGCCCCCCAGACCTGGGCACCTCGGTTCACAGGTGCCATTACAGTTGTGTCAAATTGCTTATGTAGTTCTTATAATACAAGGGTCTTAGAAGGGTCTACAATTGTGATATACTTTACACTGTAGTGTGGACCAGAAGATGTACCACATAACCCTTGTTGTGTGAATGACTTCAGGAAAAAAGGGTGTTCTATGACCAAATAACACTGGGAAGTACTACATGCTGTATTTTTCTCATGAAGAGTCACAGTGACCAAGAACATATTTAAAGTCCTACAATAAAGAAGCCTGTTTAATTTTATTTTTAAACCAGAGTTCCCCAAACTAATTGGACCGCAGAACTCTTTTTCTCCTATAATGCTTTCACATCCCAGGGAACTAATGTTTCATTTAACAGTCCCTGGGGAGTCTAGAAAGCTGGGCAGGAGCTAGATCATCAAAAGCCTTGCATGCCATGACAAGGAGTTGGGGTTTATCCTGTAGGATCTTGAGCAAGGTAATAATATGTTCAGATAGGCATTTTCATCAGGACAGGCAAGACTGGGTTTTCAACCAAAGCAGCAGTGGTGGGGATTGAGAGGTATCTTCACTATTTAGAAGAGAGGATCTCCAGGATTTAGTGCCTTGCCAAGTGCTGGGAGAAGGGGCGAAAAGAATGACTTGTGTGGAGGGGATCCAGTGGTTCTCCAAAAGAGAGGGGCAGTTTTGTGGAGAAATATAAATTCAGTTCTGCCCTATTACTTTGGGGTACCCACAATATAGGACTCAAGAGAGAGGCCTGGACTCAGGCAACGTTTAACTCACATTTGAAGCCTTGGGACCAAGAAGAACAAAAATGCTAAGAATAAAGATGAGAACAGGTCTCAGAAGGCCAGTAATGCTTAAAAGGGAGGAAAAGAAGAAATAGTCAGAAGTAGGAGGAGAACTAGGAAAGAGGAGTTTCAGAGAATCCAAGGGAGAAGAGGGTCTTAAGGAAAAGAAAATAGGGATGTCATTTACATGGCTTTCCTCACAGGAAGTCAGAAGATAATTTTAGCTGAGTTATTAGAAATTTAGAAAGTGTGGTCTCTATCTCTTTCCTTCATGCTACTAAGTTTGTTATCAGAGGATTACACATGTAGGAAAATTGGCAAACTTTAGGAATGCCTATGAACTCAAATAATTTGATGTTCCTGGCAGATTATTAAGTTTGTGAATATATCAAATACTATATTTAAGTGCCTCCATTGATACAAACCAAACATGTACGTTAAGCTACATTCCTAAGCTTGACTCACTTATTTTATTTCCAATTTGTAACTGACTTCAATTTATTTTCTGATAGTTGATATAGACATTTGAGCTGCCTTAAATATTTCTGTAAATGAGATGAGTAATCAATCACTTAGAAATTTTGTCTAAGTAACAAAATATTTTTAAAAGCCACCCAAACATTTGAGAGACACCACTCTTAACGTACACCACTTACAACACACCTATAAGCTGACCTCTTAAATATGGTATGAGTGACATGCTCTAAGTACCTTTAGCAGAAATCTTTCTTATTCAGTAATTTTGTAATACCTTATTTCAGAGTTCTACGTGATAGTGTAATCTCATTTTATTGTCTTTTGCTAATTTTGGCTAAGCGGTTTTAGAAGCACAGTAAAGCATATGGGCTTTCTTTTTTTTAAAAGATTTTATGTATTTATTTGACAGAGAGAGACACAGTGAGAGAGGGAATACAAGCAGGGGGAGTGGGAGAGGGAAAAGCAGGCTTCCCACCGAGCGGAGAGCTCGGGGTGGGGCTCGATCCCAGGACCCTGGGATCATGACCTGAGCCGAAGGCAGATGCTTAATGACTGAGCCACCCAGGAACCCCAAGCATATGGGCTTTCAATGAATAAAAGTAAAATTGTCCTCTTAAAAATTATTTCAAGCTTTTAGTGCTATAAGACTATGTAAGGATTCTGAATTTAACATCAAATATAAAAGCTTCCTTTTAAGTTAGATTGAAAGACTGTCCCAAAAAAGGTAAATTTACAGTCATATCCTGAAGTAAAAGCTTCTTTTTATTTTTCAAACTGAGGGTCATGGTTAAAAGCCACTGAAGGTCCCAGATCTGAGGTAAAGCTACCTACTATCAACTTCTGACTTGGACACTTGGCATCCTAGTAAATTATTTTTATGGGCCTTTCCAAATAATAGGGGTTATAGCGATTATCTCATGTGATACTTAGGACAACAAAATGAATCCTTCATGAAAAGCATTTATCATGTGATGGGAATTATGGAAAATAAACAACTGTGATATGTTTGTAGTAATCATGGGCAATGAGAAAAGAGTTTACTTTTTTCTTCTTCCATTTAGCAATTATTCTACAAATCAAATCCCTCAAGAAGGAGATCTTCATTTAGAAACACGGGAAGTATATTCTATTGATCCATACAACCCAGCAAGCTAATCAGAAGACAAACTGGTATCTAATGAAATTGAAATATTTTTATTCATTTCTATGTCAAAATATCTTCAATTTATATTTATCAATTTCATAGTGCTAAATATGTATGGCTCTATTGCACACATCTTTAGTAATCATGCACAGAAATTGCTAACTTATCTACTTCATATTGCCAATTAATGCTCCTGTTTTTTTTTAATTCATTCATCCATTCAGCAAATTCTAAATACATATCATAATAAGAATAAAACAAAAAAGAAGATGAGAGAAATATTTTGAAGAGAAATAAAGCAGAAAAAGGAGCTAGAGCATGGTAGTTGGAAGAGAAGTTCTCACTAAGAAAATGACATTTGAGCAAAGACTAGAATGAAGGAAGGAGCTAGCCTTATTGGTGGTGGAAGAACATTCCAGAAAGAACAGCAGGTGCAGAGATCATAAGGTGGTGTGTGCCTGCTGTGTTGGAGGCACAGCAAGGAGACCAGTGTGGCCTAGTATGGACTGACCAAGGGAGAGAGAGGTAGGGATGAAGTCAGAGAGGTAAGGGGAGGGCAGGGGGAGGTTCATCATATAGAGTATGCTAGGTAATTGTAATGAGCTTGGTGTGTATTCTGAGATGGAAACCAAATGGAGGGTTTTAGGCAGAGAAGAGAATGATCACCTTAACTGCTGTGTGAAGAATTGAGTGTATGAAGCCAATGGTGGAAGCTGGGGAGCCAATGAGGACTTTATCACAATAATCTAGGTAAGAAGTTGTGAGTGGCTACCAGCAGGCTGGCGAGAAGAGGTCAGCTTCTGGGTGCATTTTTAAGATAGTGACAGGAGGGTTTGCTGACAGTTTGTGAGGCAGAAAGCAGTGATGATGGCAGGGTTTTTTGGCCTGCTGACCAGAAGGATGGAATTGTCATTAATTAGGATGACTGACAATGTGAAAAGGCAGGATTAGGGAGAAAAACCAGGAGTTTCACTTTGGAGATGTTAGAAATGAGGTATCTAATAGGCGTCCAAAGAGAAATATCAAGAAGGCAGCTGGGTGTACAAGTCTATGTCAGAGAATAGGTCCAGGCTGAAGACATAGATATGGGCCTTGTCAGCTTATGGATGTATGTAATAATGAGATCAAATAAGATGAGCAAGCGGATGAGAAGGGCTAGGGAAAAGTCCATGTGCCAGGCCTTGGCTTCTCCCACATCAGGAGTCATGGAGTATGACAGGGAACCAACCAAGGGGTGAAGAAGCAGCCTCTGATACAGGGGCAAAACCCGAGAGCATGGTGTGGTAGAAATCCTGTGAAGGAAGAAGTTTAAGGAAGAGGGAGTGATCAACTCTGTCAAATGCTGCTGATGGATCAAGAGCAGTAGTGAATACTGACCACTGTGTATAGCAGCACAGAATTTGTTGGCGAACTTGACAAGAACCATTTTGGTGAAGAGGAAGGAGGCAAACTCCTGATTGAAGTCAGCGTAAGAGAAAATGAAAGGAGATAAATTGGAGATCTTAACTATAGACACCTCTTTTAAGGAGGTTTTCTACAAAGAGGCACAGGTAGAGGGAACAGATGACAAGACTAAGAAGTAAGGTCCAAAGAACTCTTCATTAAGAATGGAGACAGCCCCCAGGCTGCCGTTTCCATATGCTGATGAGAATGATCTAGCAGGAAGGGGGAAATGATGATAGGAATGAAAAGGAAGATTCACTGGAGCAACATGAGGGTAAGCAAGAAGGGAGGGGATCAAACGCTCCAGTTGTGGGGGCAGAGCTTAGATTAGAGTGTGGCCTCCTTAGCAAGAGAGAAGGCAGAAGATGCAGGTGTAGACAAAGGCAGGTGGGGAACCGTGACGGCAAATGCATGTGTGGAAGGTCTCTTCTGACAATTCTGTTTTCTCAGTGGCTAGAAAGCAAAACAATCACCCGAGAGGAAGATCGGGAAAGGAGATGGTAGGGATTTAAGGAGAAAGGAGAAGGCACTAAAGTCACCATGGGGGTTGAAGACTGAATGATGAGGAGTATAGAAAACCTGACAGGCAACATGAAGGGTCCCTCTGAGGTCCCCAGAAGGAGTGGGGGTGAGCATTTGGAGGTTTGCCATGCCCAGCGTTGTGCTGAACATCCCTCCTGCCTTATCTCAGTTAGCCCTCACTACCGCAGTGAGAGGTATTAGCCCAAGGTGAGCATATAACATCCAAGATGAGAAAACCAAAGCTAACATATTGGCCACAGTCTCAGAATCAGTAATAGGCAAAGGTTTGAATTCAAGCTCGAATCTACCTTCAAACTGCCTTCTCCTACATAGTCTATAGAATATAAAGATACCACCGCTGCCCTCCTGGAAATCATTTTAGTACAAAAAAAAAAAAATAGACATATACATGTCGTAGTGTAAGAATAAGTACCACAAACAAGATACAGAAAAACTGCCGTGGTCGCTGAGGAAGAAAAGATCACCTGGTGCTGGGGAGTCATGAAAAAGTGAAAGGGAACAGGGGAGACCCGGCCAGAGTGATGTCTAAACCCAAACTGCTGGGGGGTCCAAAGTAACGCTAGTACATAAATATTTGTTGAATGAATGCATGAATATGAATGTGACTCTTGCTTTGATTTCTCCCTCATTTATTATTCTTCATATTTATCAATATAAACTTTATTATTTGCTTCAGATCGTGTTATCTGAAGAAAGGGGCCTCTTAATAGAATGATATCTTCTAAGAGGCTCTATGCTCTATTGGTTACAGCACTTTGAGTTGTACATAGTTCAACATAGTTCTCTATGTACATAGAGAACGTGAACGCTCTCATTATTTAGACTTTGAGTTGCGCCCCTGCTCTTCATGCTGCCTCCTGAACAGAAATTCTCTTTTTCAGCGTGCCTTCTTGTTTGGATCCAACTGAACATCGGTTGGGAAGAAACCATTTTAATTTCAACAAGTCTATGTGTATGGTCTCAGCATCAGTGAAATGACTTCATAAGCTAGAACTTCCCATATGCACTTATTCTCAAGCAGAACAAAGAAAGTTTGCTTGATAATAAAGATGGGAGCCCAGTTTCACTGCCACATGTTCTTCAAGGACTTTTTGAAGCCCCACCTGTGATGTTCCTGGCACCAGGCTATAGCTATAAACACATAACTCCAAAAGTATCATCATTTTAAGGAAGGCACTAGAAAGAGCTGTCATCTTTATCTCGATTCTTCTTTTGCAATCAGCATACTTACTGTTATCATATACCTCTGGTCATAGTGTGGTTTTAATTATTTAAGCCAAGTAGAGAGCATTTCATGTAGTTATGATGGGCATACTTTTGTTGAGAAATCTAATTTTATATTAATCATAGCATCTTGCTCTCATATGGTTAAACATTTCACTTTTATTTCCACTTGGTTTGAGGGGGTTTCTCTGCACAATTTTTTTTTTTCATTATGGGAGTCAAGTTTTAATTGTACGGTTTTGGTGTACAAATTCAGGCTTTGGATATTTCCTTGGCAGTTCTGGCAGAGCTTTGGTTCCTTTAAAAATGTATATAGTAGTCACTCAAATAAATTTTATCTTTTAACAAAAACACTTGCCTTATATGATTTTTTTTCTCCTAGAGTCAATGAACTCTTAGGGTTTTTACTTTTATGTTTTTATTTTAATTCCATTTAATTCCTGATTTAACATTTATGCATTCTGGATCTCACCACTTTGTTGTTTTAGCCAATTCTCAACCCACAAACTCAGTTCCCTCATCCTCAAGCTTTTCTCCAGCCAACACCTTTCCCCAGCCCTCTCCCACCACCCTCGAAATCCAGCTGCCAATTTTACTTGTTCTACCATTTATACTTATTGAGAAAATAAAATCTTACTCACTGGCTACCACAAATTTCTCTCACCATCTTCTCCTAGACTATGCTGTTTGGCATCTTTGGGTTTTTAAAATATATATAGAACATAAAATTTACCAACTTAACCATTTTTAAGTGTACAGTTCAGAAGTGTTAGGTATATTCACATTGTTGTCCAACAGATTTCCAGAACTTTCTCATCTTACAAAGTCGAAATGTTATATCCATTAAACAGTAACTCTACATTCCCCTCTCCCTGCAGCCCCCACCCAGCAACCACCATTCTACTTTCTGTTTCTATGAACTTGACTACTTTAGATACCTCATATATGTGGAATCATACAGTGTTTGTCCTTCTATGACTGGTTTATATAACTTAGTATAATGTCCTCAAGGTTCCTCCATGTTGCAGCATGTGGAAGAATTTCCTTCCTTTGTCAGACTGAATACTACTTCACTGCATGTATAGAACACATTTAGTTCATTCATCTGTCACTGGACATGTGGGTTGTTTGCACTTCATGGCTATTGTGCATAATGCTGCTATGAACAATGTTGTGCAAATAGCTCTTCATGACATTGCTTTCAATCCTTTCGGAGACATGGGGCGCCTGGGTGGCTCAGACGGTTAAGCGTCTGCCTTCGGCTCAGGTCATGATCCCAGGGTCCTGGGATCGAGTCCCGCATCGGGCTCCCTGCTCCTTGGGAGCCTGCTTCTCCCTCTGCCTCTCTCTCTCTCTCTCTCTCTGTCTCTCATGAATAAATAAATAAATAATCTTCAATCCTTCGGAGACATACCCAGAAGTGGGATGCTGTTCAGAATCTTCTATTCATTCATAATCAGTACTGTTTTCATTCCTCTAAATTAATCTGTTTGTTCACCTCAAGCTGTCTATTCCATCCCACTTTCATCTCTATTCTCCTTCTCTTAGCAGTTGATGAAAACATCACAGGGTAACTCACGCAACATCCTCTCCCTCCCCTACTGTCGCTTCACCCAAACACACCCGCCTCCACCCTGCATAGTTTCCTTAGCTTCTGGGAGCCTGGGGACTGTGACAGGGCTAACAGCAGAGAAGGTTGTTGTGAGCCAGGAACTAGACTTCCAAGGAATGATGGGAGAAAGCACATGTCAGGAGATCGCTGCAAAAGTAGTAATGAGTGTGTGTTCTGATAGCATGTGATGTGAGGCTGGGGAGATGGACCTTCTATTCCCTTTTCCTCAGCCTACTATGCTCTGGTTTCTCCTTCCATTTCTCTCTGGAGAATAACTTAAAAGGACAATATCAGACCTTTGAGAGATTGGTATTGGATAAATTAAAGAGATGTGGTAAGGGATATGATCAAAGTAAATATTTCTTGCAACAGAATCTTGTGAGAGAGGCTCGTGGAAACTGCTGGAAAATGAGAAACATACCTGGCCTTTGGAGCACTGCCCTTTCTTTACTAGTGAGGATAGGAGCTGAGACCTGAGTATGAGGGACAAATGAAGTAAAACCATATTCTAGAATGTTTGTGTGAGCTGAGGCTCTACACGCTGAGTGGTAGAGGTTTGCTGGATTGTGGTCTCCATTAATGAAGCTGCACTGAGGAGAGGGAGAGTAGTTCTCCACCTTGAGCATCTTTTCCCCACCATGAATCATAGCTATGCACGGAGGAGAAAAGGGCTCACACGTTTACTAAAGTATCTGTTATGATACCTTCCCGCCCCTTCCCTTCCTCTCCTCTCTACAGCATGTGACATTTGCAATTACTCCTCTCCACACAGCTCATTACAACTCTTGCTGTTTACACACAACTGACTCTGGTTTTATCTAATTTTTAAATCTGGGGTCCTTATCTTAGGGGCCACAGACCTCCAAAGGTTCATGGCTAGAACTAGATTTCAATATAAGCCGTTTCCTTTGTAATCCTAGGTACTCTATTTTATGCATTAACAAATTAACTCTGAGAAGGGGTCCATAGGCTTGACCAAAGAAGCAAAGGAGTCCACCATACACAAAAATATTAAAAATCCATGAACCACATCCAAATGTTTCCATCCTGATCTTCCTATCATTTATTCTACATGTTCTCACTTAACAGTTCCTGAGATTTTGACTCTCTTCCACCCATTTCCCTTTCAAAGGGCCCATTGTTTGACTTTTCTGGAAGTCCAGTTTCATAATCAACAAACTATATTCCCAATCTTTTCCTAGAATATTCCCATGCCTCCCTAGCTCTCACTAAAACTCCATCTGTCTCATGCCCAAGTCTTTCTCAGTTAAAAAAAAAAAAAGTCCTTTGACACTCTCCCTTGCTCAAGTGACCCTCTCTCTCTCTCCTCTCATATGTTTCTTATTGTAACAAGTTACCTTGTAGCCAAAAACGACTCAGATTTATTCTTTTACAAGCCTGGAGGTCACATGTCCAAAATGATTCTTACAGGGCTAAAACCGAGGTATGGGCAGGACTGGTTCATTCTGAAAGCTCCGGGGAGAATCTGTCCCTTGCCTCTTCCAGCTTGTAGAGGTGGCTGTCATTCCTTGGCTCGTGGCAGCAAGTCCCCAACCTCACCTTCAGTTACTACCTTCTCCCACTCTGATCTAGTGCCTCCCTCCATAAGGCCCTCTCTGATTACACTGCCCACCCAGATAATCCAGGATCATCTCCCATCTCAAAATCCTTATTTTAATCACATCTGCAAAACCCCTGTTGCCACGGAAGATGACATAGTCACTGGCCTGGGAATTAGGATGTGGACATCTTCGGGGGCCATTATTCAGCCTACCACACACCCCCCATTTCTCTCATCCTTGAATGCTTAACCCCCTGCTCCAAATTTTTTTATTTCAATAAATAGCACCATCATTCATTTTGAATCCCGAGGCTCACTACTGCTTCCTTTCTTTTCCTCACCACTAACTTTAAGAAAGGAAGTAACCAAAATCTAACGCATGAGTAAGTTTTGTTCATTCTGTCTCCGATTTAATTGTCCACTTAATCTCCAGTCAAAGCCACCTTCAAATCTCACCTGGATGATGGCAAAATCTCCTTGCTGGTCAGCCCCATTCACTGTTGCCTTATTCCAATCCGGTCTCCCCTTAGTACAGACAACTCTATTTTTAAAATGCAAATCTGATTAAGTCACTCTGTTTTAAATTTTTTTTCCCCAATGGCTTGGTATATCTCAATTCAATATAAAGGAATTGGTTCTTCATATCTTCTATACACTGCACATATTGCCCAGAATTGTGGCTTTAACGCAGAAAGCAGGCATTTTGTTCGCTGACCTACCCACGCGGATTCCTGCAAAGGGGAAAAGTCACGCGGGGGCGTTTGAAAGCTGACATGGAAGAATCCACCGCCTTTATCCCGAGCCGCCCATCCTCCGCGCGGACTACATCAAGGAGACGAAGCATCGCCAAATTTAGCTCCTGTAGACGTGTCCCTAAGGTGGTCGGTGGGAGCGAGATTCGCTGGAAACAACGCAAATTAGGAGTAAACAAGACCTCGCCTATTAAGGGGAAGCTGCGGTCAAAGGCTTCCGTCCCGGCCTCCCGGCCGCGCTCCCCAAACTCTGGTGCAGAGTGCTTTGTCTCTCACCTCTTCGCCTCGTTCCCTGCGCTTTCCTTCGAGGTCGCACCTGCTTACTCGAGGTGCCTGGGGAAGATGGGAGCGTCTTCTCGGAGGAGCCCGCAACCTCTCGGGCCGCCGGCGCCCCCCATCTCCTGCTCCGGAGGAACCCTCCTGGCGGTTCTGGTGCTGCTCGCGCTGCGGGACGCCTGGGGTGAGACGCGGGGCTGGCCTCTCGGGTCCCCAGGGTGGCGCGAGAAGGCAGGTGGGCTCCGGGATCCGCGCTTGTGCCGGGACCCTGGTGGCCTCTGGGTGAGCGTGGAGTTGCCCTCTGCCAGGGGCTTGTGTGGTGCCCGCGCCGGGAGCGCGCATGTGCTCGGCAGGTGCCGCTGGAAATACCTGCTTTTGTGTGTTAACAAAGACCGCTAGAGCAGAACTAGTGCTGATCCCAGCGAAAGAAAGGGTAGTGGGAAATGCGACTAACTTGGGTTCTTTTTTCTTTTTTAATTTTTTATTGTTGTTAATCACCATACGTTACATCATTAGTTTTTGATGTAGTGTTCCATGATTCATTGTGGTTCTAATCTCAGCAAGTTTGTAAGTGCGAGGAAAGTTACTACACCTGTCCGAGTCTGTTTCCTCTTCTGTGCAGTGGAAACACTGATTTCTACCTCGTGGTGTTGTTACTTGAATGGCATAAAGCGTGTCGCGGTCTAACACAGAGCCTGTCACTTAATCAAGTTCTATCCCCCAGCCGTTACCTCTGCACTTGGTTCACCAGGGTTTTTGGACAAGCTGTCCTGGGGGTGCAGTTCTCACCTTAAACTGCCCTGCATCATACTGAATTCACCCCGTTCACACCCCAAACCACCACAGCCACTTACTGAAAGCCTTCATTAACACAACTCCCATGGCGGCACTTGGGGTTAGAAGGGCCAGGGAAGCTCCGGAGCCCTTGCTGTAACTAGCTGCAGACAGAAGGAAATGTACAGATGTTTACACAGTGTGGCATTTTAGTCATGTGGTGAGTACAAAATAACGCCCATTATAACTATTTGGAAATTTGGTGGTGTCATCTTCCCTTCCTTCCTTCCTTTGAAATAGGTGAACATCTTCATTTAGAATCCTTCTCTTATTTTTGGTCTTCCAAGAAGTCTTCTTAGTTGCTTGGACTCATTGGTAACATCTTAGTTGAAATGACGGTCTTAACTGTTTTTGTCCGGCCTCTTCTTGACAACTGATTTTGTTCTCCACTGTCACTAGACATTACGAATTCATTATTTGATTGTGCCTTCTGTTCTAAGAGAGGAAGGAACAAGGAAAAACCAAGTTTCCACAAAAGTTGTTATTAAGGGTCTGCCTTCTGCTCAGGTCATGATCGCAGAGTCCTGGGATCGAGTCCCGCATCCGGGTCCTTGCTCCTGCTTCTCCCTCTGCCTGCCATTCCCCCTGCTTGCTCAGTCTCTCTCTCTCTCTCTTTTTCTCTCTCTGACAAGTAAATAAAATCTTTTTAAATAAGTAATTAATATTTTATCTCCTTAGACATCGTAACCTGTCAGGTGAAGAAACGTGATAAAACCTAAAGTTTTATTTTCAGAAGAGAGGCATGCCAAGTAAATTAAGCAATCTGTTGTCAATGCTTAGAAATGTTTGTGGACATCTTAAGTATCTGGTCCTCTTCTTACTGGAACATTAATTGCAAAAAATATATGTTTACTAAGGTTATCATAATAAGTTCAAAATGTGAAACAGCTAAACTATCTAGTAATTTACTTGCCAAAGGAATGCAGACACAGAAAGTGCTGACGGAGTGCTGACCAACTTTGGACTTTATGAGAGAGCCGTGTCTTCAAGGTGCATGCATATGGAAGTTGGGTGGTGGGGTTTTGTGAAATCTCCTTAATTGGGAGGCCAGGGTTCTGGTTTTTTTCAGCCTCTGCTACTTAGTAGCTATGGGCCTCCGGCCCAGCAAGTCAATAAATTCCCTGAGTTTCAGTGTCCCTGTGTATAAAATGAACATAACTGACATCTGGCAATCTGAGAGGATTACTGTGAAAAGCAAATGAGGTAGTGCATGTGACAGTGTTTCGAAACCTGAAAATCCCCACGAAGATCTATGAAACCATGAGTAGGAGGTTCCCTCAAGAGAGTATAAAGGCCACCGCATGACTGAAAAGGGGGACATCTCAGCTTCAGTGATCAGAGAAGGCTGAGTGGGAAGGAGCATGGATTTAGCAACGCTTAAGGAGTGAATCCAGAAATGATTGGGAAGGCTGATTCACAGCAGTAGTTATTTTACACAAATTGGCCTCTTAAGCCAACTAGGACCGTGTAGAATATAGGGCAGCCTCTGGCGCCCTCACCTGGTCCTTGGGTGAGATCCACTCTGTTGCCCAGCTGTATAAAGATGCAAGGGAGAAAGGGAAAGGCCAGGGGCTTTCTGTGATTGGCCACCTATTTCGGTTCACATAATGCTCAGATGAGCAGATTTATGGTTTATATTACCTGGTTTTATCTAATATAACCTTTATGATTGGACAACCTACTTCAAAGTTTTTCTGCATAAAAACAGAATGAAGATAATTCTAATAAGCCCAACTTAAGCAAACGAGAAAAAGGCATAGCTGATAACACCTTCCACACACACACACACACACAGGCATCCACACACATCCAGGCTCTTTGTCAGAGACATGAAGAGGAAGAAACATTGTCAGTCTAATCACAAGTGACCCAAGGCAAAAGCAAAAAAAATTCAGAAAATATCAAGACTAGTTGAAATGATAGCTTTACATCCACTATTATGAACAGGGAAACTCATTGTGACTATTTTGTCCTTGTAGATGTTAATAAATGAACATATTAAATCATCATGAGTAGCAAAGCATTTGAAATGTTTATTTCATCTCTATCATATTTTTAAAATTTCTGTTTATATATAATACACGATATTACATGTGTTTATAAATACAAAATTACTAAATATAGATATTTAAATATATTTAATATTTTACTATACATAATATGTTATATGTATACATTACATTATATTTATTTAGATGAAATGACATGTTACAATTTGTTATAAAATTAACATATATAATTGCATTATATATTATATATAAAAGCTTTATAGGCTATATAATAAAAATATAATTTAATATATAGTATTAAGTTGGTATAGTTTATGTGGTTTATAATTTATAATATACATTAATCTGTAAAATACATTATATAATATATATTGTAATATAATAAATTAATATGTTATATATAACATACCAAATTATATATTAGAATACATATTATAGATTAAATTAGATTATATACTATACCAAATATAATATATAGTATACTAATATTATGAATATATAAAGATTTTTAAACATTAAATATACATATATAAAATTTTTGAAAGTGCATGCTCTTTTTTTCTTTAACTGATAGAGGTGTTTAAATAAAACACTTGCAGATCTTTTCATAAAAGAGTAGAATAGGCAGAATGGAGAGCAGAGTGTACTCCAGGTTGATGGTTTATGTTTGAACAAGCACGTGGAAATAATAATAAGTAAATTGTGCTTCTAGCACAGCATAAATCCATCTGACTTGTATGGAAAGTTTGAATCGGGAGTATTTCCAAGTGGACTGTGTCACCCAAGACAAAAACCACAATGAGATGACAATATATACGCATTAGAATAGCTAAAATGTTAAAAATTGACCATACCAAGTGTTGGCAATAAGAGGAAGTAACTGGAATCACTGCCCTGGAACCACTTTGGACAGCAGTTTGGCAGTTTCTTAAAGTGCTAAACACAAATGTATCATAGGACTGAGCATTTTACTCTTAGGTATTGACTCAAGAGAAATGAAACATCTGACCACACAGAGACACAGGCATGGATTTTCATAGTGGTTTTATTTGTATTAGCCAACAACTGGAAACAATCCAAATGACATTCAACAGCCAAATAGGCAAACTAAATTAAGGGGTATTTGTACAACTGAGTATCACCCAGGAAAAAAAGAAATAATTTTTTATATATGCAACAACCTGGATGAATCTCAAAATAATTATTCTGTGTAAAAGCTAGACCAGCAAAAGGGAAGAAAAGTACAAACCAAGTGAGTTGGTTTATACGAAATTCTAGAAGGTCAAATCAATCTGTATTAAGAGGAAGCAGGTCAGAGATCGCCTAGAGAAAATGGTAGAGAGACAGAGGGATTATAAAGCAAAATGAGGAAACTGTTGGGGGTGTGATGGAAATGTTTGTTATCTTGATTGTGGTAATGGTTTCATGGTGCACACATATGTCAAGTTCATCAAATTGTATACTTTAAATATTTTTCAACTATTGTATTTAATATATCATAAAGCTATGCAGAAGTGTTTCTTTAAGTAAACTATGGTAGGCCTTGAATTTATGGAGTTCACATTAACATATTTCTTATAATTTGAGGGATTGGGAATGAAGGAGGAAAAGAAAACCAGATCAAGCTTTCTGTAGTGAAGGTTCATATGTTCCTTTCTATTTAGGCTATTGTCCCAATTTACGTTTTTAACTTTTACCTCACAGTTAGTAGGTAGAAGACAGTAGGTTCAAGTCCCCGTCTCTATGAATCCAGTTTCTAACACTATACACTGTTACCTTTTGTACTAGTTTCTTATTGCTGCTGTAACAAATTACCACAAACTTAACTGCTTATAACAACAGAAATGTATTCTCTTACAGTTCTGGAGGTCAAAGTCTCAGATAGGTCTGTTGGCCTGTGTCTCTTCTGGAGGCTCCAAGGGAGATTAGGTTTCCCTGCTCTTTTCTCTTCCAGAGGCTGCCTGCATCCTTTGGCTCATGGCCGCCTTTCTCTACCTTCAAAGCCAGCACTGGAGCATCTTCAAATCTCCTTCTTCTGTCATTGATCCTTTGCATCCCTCTTTTAAGGACCATTGTGATTACATTTAGGGCCCATCCAGATAATCCAGGATAATCGTCCCATCACAAGATTCTTAATCACATCTGCAGAGTCCTGGTGCCATATTAGGTAACATTCACAGGCTCCAGGGATTAGGGCATGGAGGTCTTTGGGAGCTCCTTGTTTAGGCAACCACATATTTCTACAGATTTTCAAAATCTTAGCTGAGCCTGCTGAGGGAATCTATTACCATTAGGGTCCAGCTTAGTAGCAAATGTCTGTAGCCCAGCAAGCAGCCGGCAGTGTGTACATTGAATGTGACTAACGGGAGCATAAAATATATGTAGAATTTAAAGACAGAATCATGATAGAACAAAGGACAGGAAGGAAGTAAATGGAGTTAGCATTTTCTGTGGTTCTTGCATTGCTGGGGAATGATAATTGTTCATTGCACATTAACATGGTAAGGATGCATGTTACTTTTTTTTTTTAATTTTATTTTATTATGTTATGTTAGTCACCATACAATACATCATTAGTTTTTGATGTAGTGATCCACGATTCATTGTTTTCATATAACACCCAGTGCTCCATGCAGTATGTGCCCTCCTTAATACCCATCACC